TTCTTACTTCAGTTTTGAATCATATGTCCAGCTGATTTATCAGTTCATTATAATAGGCTTCTCTTCTACACAAGCAAATCCTAGGTGTCCAAGAAGATTGTTTATTTCTCTACTCCAGAAATAGCTTAACATTTCGTGAAATTGCAGGCATATATCACAGGAGCTGATGTAAAACCATTCACCAAAAGAAAAAAAAAAACCAACCCAAACCAGGGATAAAATTGGAATTGAATTGTAAATAAGCTTATTGTTCTTTGCCCTGAGAGAGCTGTTTTTGTAGATCTTTCCAGCAGTCAGAGGTTTTGCCAGTTCACTCACCCACAAAGGGAATGATGTTCCTCTGAGATACCAGTTGCTACTTTTTAGATGGACCTATGCAAAGCATCTGTGCTACTCTGTAAGACAAAGCCTTTCACAGAATTTCTTAACTCTTTTTCTATCCCTTCTATTAAACAGTGGGGTAAATGAGCAGGGACTTGCTACATAGCAGTGAAAGCCCACCAAATTCAGAATCCAGAGGATTATAATCAAGAGATGACTTTTGTAACTTTACATGCCTGACAACTGATGTACAGTACAATTCATCCATGTATTCATCCATGTAGTCATTCACGTATTTGTCCATGTCACAAAAATATCCATACATGTGGTTGAAAAGCAATGGAAGGAAAATACGGAGTGGGAGGAAAAGCTAAGCAGAGAGGACACACTATTCAAGGAGAAGCTGCTTGAAAAGGAAAACATCTTTGTCTTCTTTTTCAAGAAGAAAAACAGATGGCTTAGGCATCACAAACTTGACCTTAACACTACTGTATCTAAACACTATGTATTAGGATTGGGAACCAGGCAATGAAGAAGAAGATCCCATACAACACCATTTTCCAATGGGATCAACAACTAAGGAAGCTCAGGAAAGAGAAATGATATGAAATCTCTTTTATCTTTTAATTATTTACATGGTTTCATTCTTTTTTATACATTTGAACCATGCTCAGCCAGCCATTTAGTCTTGATAAGTAGAAGAGAATATTTTATTTCTAAGATGTGTATGAAATACTGCATCTGATTTTTAGCAGATACTCAATATGCTGAGTAACCCTAATAATACAATATAGGAATAAAGTTAGGGAGTGAAAAACGTACATCTTAGAAATGGACACAAGCCACAGAAATGTAAAGCTGAAAAAGGGACCTCAAGAGATTACTGAATATGCCCTTCTGCACTGTACAGTAAATGCAGCAAGACCATCCTTGACAGCTGTTTGCCTAAACTGTTCTCAAGTCCTCCAATAGTTTGAAATCTATGTCCATCTAGGACAGTTTATTGCTTTTACAGTTGGAAGCCATTTTGTAGCATCAGATCTGTCTTGTTTATTTCAAGATTCCTTTGTTTTATTTTCTCCAAGGTCTGCAAGAAACGGTTTAGCCTCCAATTTAGCACTCCTGAGCAGTCTTTAACCCATCAGAAAACCTATGTGTACTAGCTGTTTGCTTTCTTTTCTAGTCTGAATAACCCATTTTCAACCTTTTCTAATTGTTCTCTCAAACATCATGCTTTCTTGAAACATTTCTCAGTTGCTGTGATAGAGACTACTCTCATCTTATCTACAGCTTCCTTAAGATCTGATGAACTGAGCCCATACAATGTCCTAAAGAATGGAATAATACCTCCCATCTCTCACATATGCTATTTTTTGTCATACATCCCAGGATAACATTCATCCTTTTAGAAGCCGTCACACTCCTTTGGTGGGGGAACTTTTATTCCCAGATTCTTTTATTCAACAGCAATTCTGATGGTATTCCAGATATTTTATTTGATTTTACTTTATTGACCTCCTTGAGATGGGATGGATTTTAATAATTACCCTATATGTGCTCTATACTAAGGCATGCTGGTTTTTCTGATTTTAGTTTTTTCCTATTTAGCTGCCCAGAGGCCTCTGCACCCAGAGCAACCGAAAATTGAAATCAACATGAAAATAGGAACTAATTATTTCTACTTGATAATGAGAACAGAAAATTATCATGAAATTAAACTTCAGAGAGTGGCACATAAGAAAAATTATGCTACCTGAAAAAAAAAAAAAAAGCAATCTGCTAAGGGAGGGGGTAGAAACACTGGCAGTAAATCTCTCCAAAGCTACAACTAGCTAGCTACTCATTGTCTGCATACAGTTGTACAAACTTGCTTATTGCAGAGTCAGACGTCAGAGAGGGAAGAGATCTGCTCACACTCTTTAGCCTTCCAAGGCTATAAACAGCACTGAATGAATGAGAGAAAATTAAGCTTGCATGAGGGATTCTGTGAAGAACACTTACCTAGGTTCTTGTCTGATCCCAAGTGATCAGGGGGCACTGCCTCTCTTGTGAGAAGATGAGTGAATGAAGAAGCAGCAACAAGACATGAGACACCTCATAGTTTGGAGCAACAGAGAGCAAGGGTATATCCTCAGTAACTGTCAGCTGCCCTCCTGAGGAGTCTTCTCCACAAGAGAACGTTGTGCACTCCTCACGAAGCACCTCTCTCTACTGTTTGCTCCTTTTCAGTAGATGCTAATTTTTGCTTCCCCAAACTCCTTTCCCAGCAGGTGGCATATGGAAGCACATACTCTGCCTTCCTTTTTTGAGGATTCCTGTTAAGGGAACGTGCAACATCTAAGAGTCCCACTGCACAGGAATACTTGAGGAAAGGGCCTTCAGCTCCAACAGAAGAAATGAGAGAAAGTGCCTTGTTACGGCTGTTGCATTCACCTAAATTCATGTTCTTACCCTTGCCACTTCAAATATCAGCCAGACCTAAACATAAGCCAAAGCAAAGATCTGTTCAGCAGGACACAGGTGTCCTGGGTTCAGCTCAAACCATGACAACAGGTATGTAGAAGAATCTTTGCTGTCTGCAGTTAAGATTTCTTATTCCCCCTCACATGGAGTACCTACTGTGCAGATGATGCTCTGGAGTGAGGGTCGCAACATTGTTCTCCTGCTTGCCAAATCTCAAGATGATGACTCTACTCATCTAGCCCTGTTTCTCATTCCTAAGGTTACGTTTTTGTGTACAATTACCCTGATGGTGCTAGCTATCCCTGGTACTCAGAGAGGACTCCCCTACCTCAGTTGGTGACTAGCAAATTATGTGAAAACCTATAACTCTGCCTGGGGCCAGTGGCACCTTCTATATTCACTGTTTGTTCTTCTGTGTCAGTAATTAGATGATTGCCCCATCTAAAAAGTTCCCTTTATGCTCCCTGGCACTATAATACACTATAATTCAACTGTGGCACACAGTACCAGCTAAACCCATGCTATGTGCTCTCATGCATTACTAGCTTTCTATAGAGTCTTTGATAACACAGATGGCAAATCTCTTGATGGGGGCTTCTGCACAGATGTGATGTGAGACCCCATTCCCACTCCTGCCCTCTCACTGGTGTTCTGGAGCCACTCACATGCAAGTGTTATGAAATACACAAACAGTTCCTGACATTGGACATTAATCTATGATATTTTTAAAGTCACAGTTTTGGCATTTATTGGGAATAAATAACTGGAAAAGTAGCACATGTAGATTTCTCTAGTTCTTAAAATATCCATGGTAGGAGTTTTCTGTACCCTAAAGACTTGATGAGTAGGCTGTCTAGGTTATACAGGTTGCCATCTGGCTCTCAGTCCCACTCTTTGTTTTCAGTCTCCAGGCCATTATGTCTTTAGTAAGTAATCAAACATATTTTGTTCTATTCAATTTTCTTGTTGAATTCTTGATTAAGAGCCAAATGTTTATTTAAACAGGTGATAACTTTGTTGCTTACTTGGTGCAACTGGAACACAGTTTTAGGTCACATCTACATGACAGATGTAGTCATGTCAAACAGCCTGAAGATAAAGTGTTTCTGTAGGGTTCAAGATTAAAAAGAGCTAAGCTTTATCCTCCCAGTTAAGGGGTTGGAGTAGTAGGGACAACTGTGGTCATAAAGTAGAACTGGGGAGGGTAGGAGTGATAATAAAAGGGAACTGGAGTGGGAAGAAGCAGAGGACGAATATTGAGCTGGAAAGGGTGCAACTAAAACTCTCAGTAGGCACAACCTCTTCCAAAAATATTTTGAACCCCAACCTCATTGCAAGTCTCTGCAAATATTAAGATAGGCTTGCCTAGTCCACTTTGTGGCCCTGTAGTGAAGCTCTACCTTTGCCCTTTACCAAACCACATCACTGCAAATCTAAATCCACAGCATTTTTTATCCACAGATAAAAAATGGCATGGCCGAATATGTGCAAAGGCTTGAACTTTTTCACTGAAGAAAGTGAAGGACCACTGATTCAGGGAAAATTCCTGAAACAAACTCGCCAACAAAGTTTTCAAGCTGACAAGCAGGTATTCTTTATTGCGGTGCCGGGAGACATGGGTGATGGCTCCTCCTAACATGTATCGCCATATTGCTGCACAAGCCGTCCTTATATAGTCCCTGGGCATACATACATATTCATGAGGATATGTACTAATTACATCATTTTCCAGAAAGTTTCCCGCATGCGTACAAAAATTTGGTGGTGGTCTCTGAGTGTCGTTTATTTCTTCCAATAATCTTCATCACTTTTGGCAGCCTTTGAAGAACCAGCTTAATTAACATTACAGACATAGCAATCATCCTGTCCTACTTATCAGTTAGTTTAATTGCGCCCATCCTGGACCTCTGCTAGTCCCAGTTACTCCCCATCCCCAGGTCCTGTTTTTCTATCCTGTTTTTCTTACACTTTTTGTACTAAGGTCGTAAGGACCTAAAACTATGTTAACTGCAATGATTCATCTTCAAGCACCTCAGTTATTTGCACTACAAAGCCATCAAGCTTTACATTACTTAGAACTGATTCATTCTATGCTTTTGTGCCTCTTTTTCTCAAATCCCCCCTTTTTCTGTCCTTTTGCAAATTCTTTTGTAACATTTTATATACTACTGTTACCATCTAGAGTCTTTTTTAAATAATTTTCTGTATCTATCTCCTTGAAGCTTGATCCCATTTCTTTTCCAATATTCACAATTTATCATAGATCATTTACAATACCAGAAGGAACATTGTATCATACCACAAGTAATCAATATTAAAACAATTAACATCAATATTCCTGCAACTAGTTGCCTCAGCCAGGAGAGGTTAGGTAACGATGAAGTTAACTTTTTCCATATTTCTTCAAACCCCCAGGAGGTGTCATCCATGGCCATTTCATGGAATATTTTAGTTGTCTCCAAATTTCCTCCAGATCTGTTTCAATTCTGCCACTTAGATCTATGTAGGAACAGCATCTTTCATTGATTATAGAACAAACCCCTCCTTGTGAAGCCAATAACATGTCTAGAGCCATTTGGTTTTGTAATACCACTTTAGGTAGGCTAGTTATCTCTTTTCATTCTGCTTGGATTATATCAATAGTTTTACTTTCTATTTCCTCTATGGTTGCTGAGATATTTACATTGCCTTCTCTAATTCACTTACTCCCAAAGATGGAATTAGCCCTCTTACAAAACTATGAAATGCGGTGTTCTGTTCAGCAATAGAGTTAAACCCTCACTTAATCTGTTTAGGAAAACTTCTTATCCAGGTTTCAGAAGGATACATGTCAATAATAATAAGATTGAGCATCACAGTACCTAAGGTGCATCCCCCCTTCCAGTTGCAGGGTAGAGTCTTATAAACATTTTCTCCACATAACCAATACCATCCTTTCCCTTCAGGAATGGGCCACCAATGAACTATGATACCATCTATATTAATAGTGTAATTGTAATTTGAATAGTGACCTACACCTGTGGCATTTAAACAACCATAATCTCATACTCTGGTTCCTGCTGTAATACATATTTGTACACAGGTATAATATTCTTTACTTGGATTAGGATTAACTGTGCCAAATCTTAACCTTTCCCATAGACGCAGATTGCTAGTGTTCACCCTCAAATTTGTCCATGAGATGGTGTTGGAAATTGGAACGCCAATTAATGAAAAGTCCGGATTTTCTCCTAATTCAGGCAACTGTGCACACACCCAACAGTCACTATGATTAACAACTTTAGTAACAGTCTGCATTAATTTCAGGTATAAATTTTGGTCCCAAGTTTGTACACCAGTTATCGTATAAATCCAAATTATGACCAATGCAATTTCATATGTAAGGGTCCCAAAGGTTCGATCCGCCGTGTCTTCTCTGGCTCTGGTGCTTTCTTTATTCTTGAATAATGTATCCAAGCAGGTTGTTCCTTTACCTTCACTGCTGTAGAGGTGGTCAGTAATATCTGGTTCGGTGTGCTCCACTCTCCTGTAGAGGATCTCCTGAACAATTCTTCACATAAACCCAGCCTCCAGATCTGAAAGGGTGAATCAGATAATCCAGACCTCTTGCTCTTATCCCTACTATTCTTTTATTTATCTCCTCCAATTGTTTTCCCAGATTGAACAGAAACTGCCGGAGATAGCCTTCTCCCTCTTCCTGAAGATTTTAAACTGGGACAGATATCGTCTTCCATATAAAATTTCAAATGGGCTAACCTCTTCTTTCAACCAAGGTTTAGTTTAAATTCTTAAGAGCCACTGGTAAGGCTTGGCAAATTAGTTCCTGACATATTTTATTAATCTGTTGTTTGATCAGATGGTTCATCTTTTCTACTTGCCCACTGTCCTGCGGCCTGTATAGAACATGTGGTTGCCAGTCAATTTCTAATTTTTTGCTAATTTATTGCAACAATTTTGCACTAAAGTGCAAGCCTCAGTTGGAAGAAATTGCCACTAGTACTCCAAAACAAGGTTTTATATTGTTTAACAATGTTTTAGTTACTTGTCTTGCATTATTTATCCTACAAGGGAATGTTTCTGGCCACCTTGAAATGTTACACCAACAATATCGATAACCCCCTTTTCTTGGTAATTCAGAAAAATTTATTTGCCACTGCTGTCCCAGATAACTTCCTCTACCAATTGTCCCAATCTGATTTCTACTTTCAACTTTAGGATTATTCTTGAGACAGAGCTGACATTGTCACTAACTGAACTATGATATATAGATTCCTTCCTACAATTTGTCTGTCTAAGTATTTATACAAAGAGTTGCTACCCCAATGAGTTTTATTATGTTTCTCCTGAACTAATTTCCACAGCCGGTTATAAGGAGTTGCAATTCACCCATCAGGTATCTGAACTCAACCCTGTTTGTTTTCCTGTCCTTTCAGATCTTCAATCAACTTTCTATCTTCTTTTGAATATCTATGGTTAGATTTCTCAATTGTTAGTTTGCCAACAGGGGTTAAGGACATCATTTTAGGTTGTTCAGCTGCTCATTTGGCTTCAAAATTGGCCAAATTATTTCCAGTTTCCTGATTAGGGTCACCTAGTTGATGCCCTCTACAATACGTAATAGGTACTTCCTCAGGTAGCTGAACAGTTTCCAGTAGTTGTAGAATTTCTGTAACATATTTAATCTGTTTCACCTGTGTGTTCAAAACTTCTCGTTCTTTCCAGATGGCACCATGTGTATGGACCACACCAAATGCATATTTAGAATCAGTCCTAATATTAATCCTTTTGTCTTTAGTCAATTCTCATTCAGCATGTTCCAGAGGCTTTTCTTTCAAATCTGGTAGGCTCCAATATACAGTCTTTATAGTGGCCAAGCAGTTGCGTGTTAGTATTTCTGTCAGTTGTTCCTGCAAAAAGGATGCTGGATTCACAGCATTAGTGACCACAGTTTCTATATAAACTTGTTCCACAAGGGTGGGCTGTTATTTTAAAAAACATGGAGGAGATAACCAGTGGGCTCCTTTCTATTCCAGGATGGCTGATACAACATGGGACACTAGCACAGTAATCTTTTGCCCCAAGGTGAATTTGTGAGCCTCTTCAGTATTCCTGACGACTGCCGCCACAGCCCTTAGGCACCTGGTCCATCCTTTACTCGCTTCATCCAGCTGTTTTGAAAAATACGCCACTGCCCTCTTATGGGGTCCTAGTTTCTGAGCAAGGACCTCCAAAGCTATTCCCTGTTCTTCATAGGAATATAGCCAAAAGGATTTAGTCATATCCAGAAGTCACAGACCTGCAGCTCTCATTGGCTCTGTTTTTAAATTTCTAAAAGCCTCCCTCTGCTGAAGGTACATTCCAAAGAGGGAGTATTTTCTTTGAACAGTTCATATAGTGGTCTTATCAGAACACCACAATCATGCATCCAAAGTCTGCATCATCCAGTCATTTCCAGGAACGTCCAGAGCTCCCTGATGGTTGGTGGTTGTGGAGTTTGACAAATAGCTTCTTTTCTAGCGGTTCCAAGTTCTCTCTGTCCTCCTGTTATTTCATATCCTATTTAGGAAACTCAGGTTTGGATTAGTTGGGCCTTTTGTTTGGATACCTGGTAACCATTCAGTCCCAGAAAATTCAATAATCCCACCATTCACTGGACACATTCTTCCTTTGTTTCTGTGGCAATTAATAGGTCATCCACATATTGTAACAGTGTCCCTGTCTGAGTGGGTGGTTTCCATGATTCTAGTTCCTGTGCTGATTTCAGAAAATCATTGGACTGCTTTTAAACCCTTGAGGTAATACCATCCAAGTTAGTTGGGTTTTTCTTCCTGTGTCAGGATTTTCCCGAAAGCAAGTAAGTTCTGGGTTATTTTGGCCGATGGTAAGCAAAAGAAAGAGTCCTTTAAATCCAAGACGGCAGACCATATCTGATTATTATTCAATTTAGCCAACAAGGCATACAGATTAGCTGTTACTGGATGAATATCCTCTGCAAATTTGTTGATTGCTCTGAGATCTTGAAGCAATCTACAACTTTATTTCTTTTCTGGCAAGATAGGAGTATTATATTCCAATTCACATTCAATTAATAATCTATATTTTAAAATTTATCAATGATCATTTCTTCTTTTTATTTTTTTTTTAATTCCCTTTGATCCTCCAATTTTCCTTAACTTTAAACATCTTTCCCCAGTATCACAGGATGAACAACATCTCTCCAGCTTAGCTTTCAGGTTTTCCCTGTCTTTTTCCAAAGCCAAAATTAAGGGATCCTGTGGAGCTATATTAATTTCACATTCTGTCTCTCACTCCAGGTGGTTTCTGAAAGTGAAAAACATATCTGCATACATTCCTTCATCTTATTTTCCTTGCCACCTGAAAAACATTAATTGTAAGAATGTAGTTTGAAGTCCCATTTTTTTGGCCATTTTTCTTGATCCTCCGGAGTATACAATGGCCACCATTGATTACAATATTTCACCAATGTTTTCTCATTTACTGAGCCTCCAGGAAACTCCCCAAGTTCTTTCCAGTGTGCCAAAATACACCCCAAAGGACTCTTTTTCAAGATCTCTCCACTCTGCTGATTTCCCATTATCAATCTCACACTCACACACACACACGGGATCCCACAGACACACTCCACACAGTTACACTTGAGACAGAGACTAAAACTCTATCAAATGAACAGCAGTTAATAACAGTTATAACATCCTGTTACCAATACCAAAATCACAAGACCAAAATCATCACTATAACAAGCCCCAACATAAGCCAAATACCAGTAAAATCCTAAATCGTGTCTACAGACACCCACCGCATCTTGTAGAACCCAAACCACAAGATGCCCCCTGCTTCTTGTGGGTGCATACCAAATGGATGCTAGTAGCCGGGTATACACCTTTACCCACGAGATTTCCTATCTTGATTTACAGAAGACTTCCAAGCCTTGCGTACGCTTACCAAACCAATTTAGTCTTTATGCAAGATGCCCCCTGCATTTTACAGACTATACAAAAGAAAAGGAAACCTTTTATGAGACAGTCCTTGTATGCTCCCACAGCAATTTGAATGAGTCACGAGTCCCTCCCGGAAAAATTCCCGAGGGCCCTAGGAAGTCCTGTCCTCAGCAGATCCTGCAGCCGAACAGAGAGAGTCCCATCTGGGGTGCCAGATTGATTCGGACAAAACTCCAGGAACAAGTTCACCAACAAAGTTTTCAAGCTGACAAGCAGGTATTCTTTACTGCAGGCCTAGGAGACATGGGGGATAGATAGCTCCTCCTAATGTGTATCACCGTATTGCTGTACAAGCTGTCCTTATATAGTCCCTGGGCATACATACATATTCATGAGGCTACGCATGAATTAAATCATTTTCCAGAAAGTTTCCCACATGTGTACAGAATTGTGGTGGTGGTCTCTGAGGGTCGTTTATTTCTTCCAACAGTCTCCATCACTTCTGGCAGCCTTTGAAGCACCAGCTTAATTAACGTTACAGACATAGCAATCATCCTGTCCTACTTATAAGTTAGTTCAGCTTCGCCCATCCTGGACCTCTGCTAGTCCCAGATACTCCCCATACTCAGGTCCTGTTTTTCTTACATTTTTTTGTACTAAGATAAGGGCCTAGAACTATGTCAACTACAAGGGTTTATCTTCAAGCACCTCAGTTGTTTTCACTACAAAGCCATCAAACTTAGAACTGATTACATTCTATGCTTTTGTGCCTCCTTGTCTGACCACACAGCTGTGTGCCTTGGTTTTTTAACCTCCATCTCCTTTAGTTGAAGCTGTTCAGGCTGGTGTTCTTTGAGTAGGAGAAGCCAAATCTATCTTCCGGCTATCAGCCTGAAATGCCAAATGGCCTCTGTGTCCTGCCTGCAGGCAGCAGTGACACTCCTAGGGGGCCATGGGGATTGTAATGAGACAGATCCAACACAGCAAAGAAAAAGGAAAATTAAGACCTGTAATCATGGAGAAAACTGGTGAGAGCCAGAGGAGACAGACAAAAAGGGTGGAAGTGGCATCCTTCTGTGAATAATGAGTTGGGTCATTACTGTGTAGGTGTGAGTAGAATAGTGTTGGAAAGCAGTTGCTGCTCTCCCCCATCCTGAATCTCGTTGTTGTTTTAAAGAATGGTCATTTTACAGTAAATAAGCTGTGATAACCCCAAAGCCTTTTCCTTCGTCTCTGTGCCAGAGGAAGCTAAGTTTATCCCAAGCATTTCCAAAACCACATAGCATTTGAAGGCACAGTAATTTATGGGGTCACAAATTTTAAATAAAAGCCAGTTAGAGCTTCAATCCATTTCCACCTTATTTTCTTATTTTTGCATTCTCTAAAAGAAGAAGTCTGTCTCAAGCCTACACATTTTAACAGCCTGACAGTTCTTTCCTGCAGATTTTGTAGCTTTCAGCTATTATGCCCACAAAAGCTACAGATAAGCATCATCGAAATAAACTCCCTCAGAAAATGCAGTATCACTTGGCCAGACAAGATTTTCAGAAAACTGCTTGAAATTATTTGCCAGAAAACTTATTTTCATGTGTTTTA